CACTTATCACACAAGGGGGGAGGGGAGGGGGTCGGGGGTAATTTAGCTCTGTAGGGGGTCATGGACTATAATCAACATTAGTTGGGTCACATGATGGAAGATGACGGGTGATTGGTTGATATGGTCACTGCAATCTACACATCAGCCATCACAGTTGGTGCCGATATCTCATAGGACTTCTGGGGTCACCCCCCGAAAACATGGACGGCCTCTCCAGTCATGGTGGCCACACAAGGCTCCCCATCAGTCCAATCCCGTCCAATGATCCCCGGCTCTTCAATAGCACGATTCCAGATTCATTGACCACCAGATACTCCGGCCTGACTTGCTGGTCCTCCTCCAGACCTCACTCAGACCGCCCCCCCCAAAACAGCGATGTCCATCAACATCCTCATCACCAACACACGGGGAATACCTTCCGCCGAACTCACCACCACCAACCCGGCTTCACACCGAGGAGAGGAATACCGGCTGGTGGAACCTCATCCAGCTGAGGCCTGTTCTGGTCTCCTCATGTACTCTGTGTGGACAACATGGAGGAACATCAACCCGGCCGGTCACACTCCGGCGTGGCTCAGTCAGTCAGTAGCCGCCTTCTCTATTGTTTTTGGAGTCCCGGGTTCGAATCCCGGTGCTGGCTGGACGTGGGATCTCTGTGGTGTGTGTGATGATCCCAACGTTGGCTTTGATTTCTTCCCCGCGAGTTGTGTGGACCCGATGAGGATGTTGATGTCTCTCTGATAAGCTGGCTCAGGGGGGTGAGCAGCCAGGTACTGATCCGGTAGTGGTGTGTGGCTCAGTCAGTTAGTAGCCAGATGACCCTCTATTGTTTTGGAGTCTCGGGTTCGAATCCCAGTGCTGGCTGGAGTGGGATCTCTGTGGTGATGATGGCGGTTGGTTGATGATGATGGCGGTTGGTTGATGATGATGGCGGTTGGTTGATGATGTTGGTTGATGATGATGGTTGGTTGGTTGATGATGATGGCGGTTGGTTGATGATGATGGTTGGTTGGTTGATGATGATGGCGGTTGGTTGATGATGTTGGTTGATGATGATGGCGGTTGGTTGATGATGATGGTTGGTTGGTTGATGATGATGGCGGTTGGTTGATGATGTTGGTTGATGATGATGGCGGTTGGTTGATGATGATGGTTGGTTGATGATGGTGGTTGGTTGATGATGGCGGTTGGTTGATGATGATGATGGCGGTTGGTTGATGATGGCGGTTGGATGATGATGGCGGTTGGTTGATGATGATGGCGGTTGGTTGATGATGGCGGTTGGTTGATGATGGCGGTTGGTTGATGATGATGGCGGTTGGTTGATGATGATGGTTGGAGTTCTGATCCCAGCGTTATTTCTTCCCCGTGTGTTGTGTGGACCTGATGAAGACATTGAGATACGTCTCGGTGATGCTCTGGCTGAGAGCTGGCTCAGGGGGGTTAGCAGCTGGACACTCCTCTATTGTTTTTGGAGTCCCCCAAAAATGGTGGTGGTGGTGGTTGGGTGGGTTGGCGTCTCGGGTTCCGATCCCAGCGTCTCTCTTATAAGCTGGCCCAGGCGGTTAGTACCCAGGCTCAGATCCGGCAGTGGTGTGTGGCTCAGTCAGTTAGTAGCCTGGGCCAGCTTATCAGAGAGACGCCTCATCGGGTCTACACAACACGCGGGGAATAAATCAAAGCCAACGCTGGGATCAGAACCCGAGACTCCAACCCACCCAACCACCATCATCATCATCCATCACAACGCAGAGCTCACACTCTATTGTTTTTGGAGTCTCTGGTTCGAATCCCAGTGATGGCGGGAATGGGATCTCTATGCTGATGATGATGGTTGGAGTTCTAGGTTCTGATCCCAGTGTTATTTCTTCCCGCGTGTTGTGTAGACCCGATGAGGATGTTCATGTCTCTCTCATAAGCTGGCTCAGGGGGGTTAGCAGCCAGGTATGATCCGGTACTGATCCGGTACTGATCCGGTACTGATCCGGTACTGATCCGTGTGGCTCAGTCACTAAGTTGCCAGACAATCATCTATGATTTTTGGAGTCCCGGGTTCGAATCCCAGTGATGGCGGGAGTGGGATCTCTGTGGTGTGTTGTGATGGATGATGGTTGGGTTGGAGTTCTGGGTTCTGATTATTTCTTCCCCGTGTGTAGTGTGGACCCGATGAAGACATTGAGATATGAGGCTCAGATGTTCAGGCTGAGAGCTGGCTCAGGGGGTTAGCAGCCAGGCGCTGATCCGGCAGTGGTGTTGGAGTTCCTGGTTCTGGTCCCGGTGTCGGCTCCTTGGAATAGTTGCCGGTCCCTGTTAATGGGGATGACTAGGACTATACAATATAAAGCGGCTGTCTGTGACCCGGCAGCCGCCATAAAGGAGGGTCTTGCTTTTTTGGGGTCCGAGGAGCTCCCAGCTGTAGAGGCTTTTCCACAGCCGGGGGCCCAGTGATAAAGTGACCTGCGGGGGGGATTCGATCCGGGGTCTCCAGCACCAGAGGCAGAGCCGCTTCCCCCTGAGCCGGCCGGCCGCCCCGATACCAGAGAGAGTCCATGGGTGGTATTGACAGGTGGAGTCAGGAGCAGGACCAGCAAGTCAGGCCAGAGATACTGGTGGACACTGGAGGTATTGCAGGAGCCGGGGGAGATGGCCTTCTGAACAAGAGCTCATATGACCCGTTATTCTCCATCACTGGCCCGGAACACGGACCAGGAACCTTCCGGATCAGTGAAGCCGGAAGATTAGCATGTCAGCTGAGCAACCAGCGATGGCGGCTTCCATTTCTCTGATGAGTTGTAGAAGTGTCCGTCAATGGGGCGCTACGTGATGGCAAATCCTCATTGTTGCAGTTGTCACCGGAACAGGAAGTGAGGGGAAAATCTTCCAGTGGGGACAACTGTCTAAGGCGGCAATTCCGCCTCTTTGCACAGATTTCCTCTCACTTCCTGTTGTGATTGTGGAGCAGGACGTTTGACGGGTGTTGGTTGGGGGCCCATTAGAGATCGGCAGACACCCACAAAACACGTTCAGATCATGTGACTAACATGCACCGCACCGCTCTCTCCCATGCGCAGGATTTAAAGGAACAGTCCGCTTTCTGCCCCTCCCCCCTTCAAACGCACACAATGGGACACTGGACCCCGGAGAACGTCCTCGATGATGTCATCAACTTACCAGAACCTTCTCCAGGGAAGACAGGGCCTCTTTGTTCTCCATGGGTGGGTGTGTCCTGGAAGGCTCTTTGGGGACTTGTGTTGACCAATCATAGGTCCAGAGCCCGGGCCTCACCTTCAGGTCCCTCTGGCGGGAGTCGGGGGAGAAGACTCCGATGAGGCGCCCGCTGGCATCGAATATCTCCTCCTGCTTGTCGCAGCGCTCCATGAGACTGGTGTTGAGGGAAGTGGGGCGCGCCTTGTCCTGGCCGGTGTGCGTCTGCGTCGCCGCGTCCTTCCTGGGGCCCTTCGCCGCGTTTTCGTGGCCCCCGATGACGTCCAGGCCCGGGGGGGCCCTCCTGGCGGGCGGGGAGAAGGGCTTCCAGTCG